TTCTATTTGATCAGCCAAAGTCATTCAGAAACTGAAATTCATCATCAAGGCCCGAAATTTGATACAATTAACTGATCTACAACTTTTTAATGAGGTCCAACAATAATCAACTCAGAAGACAAGAGTAGGTGCAGATTATATTTCTTTTTTTAATAATACTTTTTACCCTCTGACACTAATTCTAGTTTTTCTCATATTTAACCCAAATATTTTTCGTACAGGAATTTCCCTTTACTTGCAGTTTTGCTTGTGTGAACTGATTCATCAACATTTCCAACTTCACTCTGCAAAGTATGATAGATGCAGTGGCCATATTCTCTGTTCATTCAAGTGAAAAAATTCAGCAGATGGGAAAGTGACCTTCACTAACTATGATATCCGTTTCTCGTCTCTTATGTTGAAACTTTTTGTTAGAACAGTGTATACTTATTTGTGCTTTGAATGTTCAATGTTTGTACTTATCCCCTGTATACATCTTACTGTTTAGGACTTTAGGACTTCATTTTCCTCAGGAGGTCCCCTCTTTTTACTCTATCACATTTCTTCCACACTAAACATTACATCTACGGATTTCCTGATGCCATACCTTATTCAAATAAATTTGAGGTGTTTGAAAATTTTTCACATTTAACCAAGCGTACATGTAATATACAAGGATCAAAATAGATCCATTTTAATTTAAAACTAAAAGTACAGAATGTGTAAATATCACAGACATACTACACAAGACAATTGAGGCAGAATGAGAAATCTGGTTATTCTTCCCAAAAGTTTCTGATACTAAAGGCTATCCAGTATGCAGCTATGGCAAGTTTCACAGAAGAATTTTCTGCTCTCATGTGAAAGGACATTTCAGGAAAGCATCTTTAGCTGCACTTCTACTTTTTGAGCCAATGTGAATTCAGATAGAATGAGTGGCTTCAACAGATCCATCTTGCACACGATTATATTCTGCATGCTGGTAATTGATTATACAGAATGCATAAGCAGCTTTCCTTTAGAAAGATCTTTTTGCTGAGACTTGGTTTCTGGAAATGACTTGTAGTTATCTTGCATAAATTAAAACGATGACAATTTGAAGAAGGCAGCCCACCTCTTTAACCACAGAATATAAACCTATAATTATCTTCAAATCTTTGAACACTCAGCTACTACTTAAATTTCAAAGAAATATATAAGTTTGTTAAGATATAAGCAGTATGAAATCCTATTAAATAAATATAAAAGAAAGTCTGTATATTGGTTAATCTATCATTACACAAATGGAAGATATTTTAAAGGCACATTTCATGATGAAATATTTCCCATCATGTAAACCTAAATTTGGCACTGCATTGGCAGTTTGCTGAATAATGAATAACTGTAGCCCCCCCCCCCCCCCGGTGAAAACATCAAACCGCTCAGCTACAGAGAATAATTTTATGGATCACTGACACAAAAGAATGATATGGATAATTTAAAACTGAAAGCCATTGAGTCATTGATAATTGCAATACTAGTATGAAAAATTAACTTGGCCAGATTATTATTATTTATGGCAAATATTTCAGAATAATCTACTTAGGTTGTTGAAGACTTCAGAACTAACTAATTCACACATGCATTGCAAAATGAACCGTTTTTATTTCAAAATTTGAACTCCTCACATATTTTCATCTACACTAATGTGGCCACTTCATCTTTGCAACCAGTTTACCTTAGGTCTTATGCTGTCAAACACCAAGCACCAAAGTATTTTGACAATGAAATTAATGGAATTGTCAAAAGAATTTCAACTGATAGGCTGAAACAATGTTTTACCATAAAAGACAATGATGAGCAATCTCTTGAAAACCGCAGACACAGATTCGCACATACAGTGCCAATCTCGGGGAAAAACATTTCGCCGCTGGTCAATCATAACCATACCACATGCAGTCTCACCCCATTTCAGGATTATGTCTCCTAATCGTTTTCACTGGGAAAGGAGCCTGTAGTGTTCATTATGTTTCGTCTTCATCTTATCTTTAATTTTCATAAGATGACAACATAGAATTTTTGCCTAGCAAACACTGGTAGATTATTTGATTTGATGAAAAATATATGAGTTGTGTTCTTTTTCTCAAGTCATTGTGTCATCTAATTTTACATATTCAAAGAGTTAAAAGTTTATTACAAGTAAAAAGTTAACATAAAATATCCACTTCAAGCCAACAAATTTAATTAAAAAGGCACATGCATGAAGTCCTTAAACTTAGATTAAATGTTTCTTATTTGGAAAGTTACATAATTATGTTACGGTTCAAGTAACAGTACTGGTAATTTAAAAAGGTAGCAATATAATACAGCTATACTTAAATGAATACACACTTTCAAAAATTTACCATGAAACTGTTACAGTTACTCATGTTTTTTAAAGTGTTATAAACAGACATGAATAATTTCTAATTTGTTATTAATACAATATTTGAATTACTAAAAGTCACAACAACTTTTATGTTTTATTCCAAATGTTATCCTCTGTGTTAAGCAATGAGTTCTGTTGAACTGATGCAACAGCTGGCCAAGTATTCATGATATCCAGGGATGTTCCAGCATGTTAAAACTTGGTCAAGAGGGACTGAGACCAATTACAATTTTCTATTTGTAAAGTCAATTATGCTTTTCTGTTGGCACGCATACAAAATCAGACAGAAACAGTTTTGTAAACAGATGAGCCTCAAATAATTTTTTAAATACATTTTTCCAGACTTGCCATAGTGCAGCAGTACACTGCTGTCAAAAACATTTCAGAAGATTCAATTTGAACACTCCGAAACCATTCCAAATTTAATGCTCAGCATAGCACACTCCACAAATGCTGTTCAGCATGAAATTAAACATCCATAGACCATCACACTTTGACTTCAAATTTAACCATAAGCATAATACACTGCTGGAGATCTCATTTGAGAAGCATCTTCCAGGTCCAGAGACATCTGTTAGAAACCAAATCATGTCTCATGACTCACGACTGTTTAGTTACATCTTTTCATTGCTCTACAATATGATTTTACATATCATCTACAATATGATATGTAGTATGCAATATTCAAAATGATGTCAAGTATTGGTAAATTTTCTCAATGACTTTTGAGTAGTAACACAATAATCACAACTATGAGGATAATTCTGTCACAGACCTTCATCTCTAAGCTATGATGGAAGTCATTTGCAACAGATACTATCGCTGTTTCAGTACTTTGCTAACATGATGCATCAGACGCAGTTGAATCAGCTTAAGCATAAATGCATCAGCTTCATGGAGCTAACTGGTCAAAAGTTCAATATAGAGCTTTCACAGTGTTTTTATTTTTCAATAATATTGCCAATTTTATGCCAAGACACTTTCATAATCCCAAATATGATTTACACAATTTGTTAAAATTATTTGAAAGTATGAATGATGACCTTTTATCCGTTGGTGTACAATAAAAAAATAGAAAGGAAAATAGGTTGCTATAAATTATGAAGTTCGCCATGTGAATTATTCTCAGTGCAAACTGAGAAAAAAAAATGTGCCAGGCTAAATGTTTAAATTTCTCACCAAAAATTACAAAATTTAATATCTAGGCAAAATTTGAGTCGTAGAATCGAAATATAGACAAAAATCGGTAAGTTAATTTAGAAAAAGTCCAATTTTGTGTAAAAATACATATGTTATAAAATTGCTACATATAAATCTAATATATATCCTAAGTCACGCTTTTGAGATGTGGAAAACGCAAGTTAAAATTCGTCAATTGGCCAAGTAGAATGGGAGATACAGAACTGTCCTTTTTTTTCCATAGGGGGAGCACAGGTAAGCCTGTATAAAGTAATACCTGCAGGTAATATTTTAGACATATGAAACTACAGATAATAGCAAAAATTATATTTAATGTGATGGCCATGTGATGTATATAAACAAGTTCTAGGCAATAAAATGCATAGCAAGATTTAACCAGCTTAGAAAAGATAATGAAATATACTGTACAATAAGGCAAAATGTACCACAAACCCTCTCCATAAGGGATCTTCTTCCATAGATATATTAATAGAGTATACAATACCACTAATCAAAAACCTTTTAGATAAAATATCTCTGAAGTACTTTTTACCTTATTTATTATATACTTTTACTATAAACTAGAGGTGACATAATAATTTCCTGCTCTCCGCTTAAATTATGAATTCACCATATATTTCACATTTTAAAGTTTAATGCAAAATTCTACTATAGGAAATGCATCTAGAAAATCAGTACTGCATTCAGAAAAACTAGTTTTAGATTTATACACGAAGTTTATTTTATATCAAACATTGCTATTTAACTAATCAAGAATGCATCTATTTACACATAAGTAATTTCTTTATTGATTCTACAAAAACTCTGCACATCATTTATCATAAATTTTCTATATAAATAAATAATGATTTCAAAACAGGTTATGCTTACCATCGTAACTATTTCTGAAGAACAAGTAAGTTATTTTCACTTATGTGATTATCTTGAAGACTAACATGAAATTTTATAACAACATGCATCATTAACATTAAAAAAATTATACATTAACAGGATCCCAAAACACACTATTTGCATTTTTTTCAAATTAAGTATTCTATGATTATGGAATTTCAATATTAGACACAGAGAAAACAAATAAAACATGAGACAAGAAATATTTTCCAATTCCAAAAACTAAGAAATAAAACATGCCTATTGAATATCATACATAAAAGAGGAATAACACAATTAATACAATTATTGGTTTATACCCTAGTCAAATACCTATACAAATTTATACCCTTCTCCTAATCAAAATATTAATATCACCTAATATGCAAAGGCGATAGCTTTGGTTTCTATTACAGTCTATTAAAATAAACATTTTAGCAAAAACAAAACAAAATAAAAATAATAATAATGGATTAATCACAGGGAAAACTGTGTATGCTAAATAAGAAAACAAAAGTGCAAATACAAACTCAAAAGCATTTACCTGTGGATTAAATTAGTGAGTGGTTCAATCAACTTTTTACCCAGTCTGGATTCTAGAGGAGTCAGAGCACCAAACTGCAAAAGGGGGAAACCTATTAGAACGGCTCTCTAAACTGAGGACCAGACTGGTTACAATATTTTTCAGATACCCTTGGGAGATTCTAATACTGCTCATAAATATCGATTTCTTACACATTCTAGGAGGAGGGTTAAGGTTCAGTATGATAAAGCAGGAAATAAAAGCATCAAAACAAAAAAGGAAGAAAAAGCTATTTAAAAATATACACAACTAATAAACATAGAATAGAATTAACAACCTCAATCAATTGCTTCGACTGTATATACATTTTGCAAACAAATATACTGCACATGATGCATTTACAAAGTGTACTTAGGAAAAAAAAAAGAAAAAGAAAGGAAAAACTAAACAGAAAGGAAAAGAATAAAATTTCATAACATCCCAATATCAGGAAGTATAAAAATCTCAAAAACAAAGAAAAATTTGCATTTATTACCACATACATTAATGTGTAGAAATTGACTCAGATTACAGAACAATAAACACAGAAACAAGTCATGCATTTTTCAGGCTGACTAAGATAAGAAGTGTTCGCTCCCATTAGATTGTACAAGATTAATGAGAAAAGGATGTCACTGGAAAGATGGTTCATTACCTGCGAATTATATTAATGAGAGGCTGACTCAATTTTCGACCCAGTCTGGGTTCAATGTAGGTCAGAACGGCAAACTGGAAGAGGGAGAGAATGACTGAGGAGAGTGGATTGGAAATAACATTCACACATGCCCAAAGCAAAAGGATCAGCAACACATGCATGTATAATGCAAACTAAATATGAAATTATTTCTAAAAATGCAACAGAGAAATTTAACTATTTAAAACACTGAAGATGAAATAAGGTCTCAGCCTGATAAAATTGGCATAGACTTTTAGTTTAATATTCACATAAATATAATCAAATACTAAGAAGTCACAAATATACATACAATATGCAATAAAAGAATTAAATTATGAAATCATTTCAAAAGAACTTGTCAATAAAAATGATACATAAAGAAAGACAAAGATATTACACAAGCAGTGAAGGAGAGAAATTTCCAAAATTCAAAATAAATGTTCATGTTTAGGCAAGCTTTATTTATATAAGCAAAAATTTACAAAATAAGAAAAAGGAAACATAAGAGCAAAGAATACATACATACAAAATGTACTTTCTAACATATCAGTATAATGCGAGGGGGGGGGAAATTATATTTACTGAAATTAACACTAAAGAATAATAATCAAAAGAAATTACATCTTTTTATGACAAAGATGAAAAAAAATCCTATATGTTAATGCAGAAAATAATCAAATTGTCAAATAATATATTTGAATAAAAAAATACAGTTTAATATGAAGAAAAACTACAACCTTACCTTTCAGTAAAATACAACCAAAATTAAAAAGGTTCAGTTTTCCATATTTTAAAAAATTCTTTTGGCGAATATAAATTCACTAATATTTACAAAACACAAAATCCCTCTATTTTCAATAAAATGTCCAATATATATATATTAACTGTAAATTTTCTTTTTCAGCAGAATATTTTAAGTTAACAGAATAATTTTATAGGGATATGTTTAAATATCTTTTATTTGTCATTTTGTGAAAACGTAAATATTTGTCAAATAATAGATTGCTTTCAGTCCAAAATTACATATGAGCAGACGTTCTCCTGCATTTTAGAAGGAATCCATGGATTATAACAAACAGAAAATTAGATTAGTAGCAAGTTATATTAAAGTATTACCATTGTTTCTTAACACTGAACCTATACTTATGTTTCTTATTTGTGTGTATTAAAAATCAGTAACAGTTTATAAAACCACGAAAATGGAAAAAAAGTTTTAAAAAAATCTGAAACCTTTTAAATTTTACATTCCGTCAAAAAAGCCCCCCTTTTTTTTAACATTTTGCATGTTACCTTAATTTATTAAATATCACATTTGTTGCACTTAAACCATAAAATTCAACAGCAATATCGCAAAATAATTTTAAAATGAGCATATTTTTAGAAATTTCAATACACAGTCTCATGTGCTGGAGATAAAAAGGTTCCCCCCCCCGGTAGAGTGTTGCAAATTCTCACTTTGAAATCATCCAGTACTGTTAAGCAAAAATTCTTTAATGTCTGTTGGCCCACAAGCGGCCAAGTGGTAATGTCGCTGAACACTGGTAGTTCGGTCCGAGGTTCGAATCCCGCGAACGGGCTGGCTGCATGGACGTTTTCATGATTTTCCCCATGTGCAACGTGTATATGAGTTCCCCTTAGAAAGTCCTCCACAAAGGCATCCCTTCCCTTAGGCAGATAGCCCTAGCGTGCTTTGCCGTAATCTCAATAAACCAAACAAAACCAATCTTTAATGTCTGACAAAATATGAAATAGATAATAAAACAAATTCCAAATTAGGGCTTCCAGATACCCATATTCAGTGAAGGATTAAATTATTCAAAATTTGATAATTTGTTCTATCACAATACGAGAATCACACATACATTTATGCAGATTCTTCATTATTTAATTTCTTTAACAGGGCTTTATACAGAGCTATAATATTTCATGGCAAAAGTTTGAATAGTGGAACAACACAAAATGCTAAAACGAAATTAATATCCCTTCAGGGCTAAAAAAAAGTCCTATTCTATCATTTTGTTTTGGAGGGGGGGGCAAAACACTGGTTTTATGCAGAAACAAAAACACAGCTTTGCAATGTTCCTTCTTTTGAATTAAATGCTTAGTGCAGAATAAAAATTAACATTAAAGCGTGCACATCCAATAGATAACTAAAAGTCTGCACAGCTTGAAAATCTGAGGTTGAGTAAATTTTACAGTTCTGTAAATTTCATTTCATAAATGAAAATTCATAATATATGAGGGTTGTCATTCAAACAGGAGAATGAAATACCTTATAATAATATATATAATTCCCAAGGCATTACTATTATAATTATAATAGGAGTTGTTTTCTCCACTGAAGATTGAGATTACAATCTGCACAATCTGGATTAAAAAAGTCGATTTTTTGCAGACATGTTGCAGCTAAACAAAAGAAAGAAATCTATTTAATTATATTTTTAAATAAATTCAGGTATTTTATAATTATTTAGCAGCATACATAAGCAAAAAATATGTGCATTAAATTTCGTGATGGTTTGTCATCATACTGCTAGAATTAATTTCAGGATTATGCCAGAGAACATTTTCTGAAATTTGAAAGTATTATTTACTAATAATAAATAAATGCAGAGGGAAGAAGGAATTAAATGATATGAATAACATAAAAATAAAGATAATTACTTAAAAATTGAATTAGAATAATCAACGATATTTTAGCAAAGTTATATTATATGGTTAAAACCTAGATGACTGATTACTATTTTTTTATTTTACTGCAAAACGACAAAAAAAGGCACTTATCAAAAAGGAAAGGTTTAAAAGATTTTACAGTAAAATCCTAGTACAATTTTTGCCTGGTTACTACTGTAAGAAAGACGTGCAACTTTTTCCTTCGATTCCAAAAAAATTGCAAGTTGTTTGTTTTCAAACAATCAGCTAGCTATCAGCTTCGAATACTACCAACTTGTTTATAATGGAGAATCAGTTTGCCCTGTGTTAACCCCAACGTGATCTATGGTGATTAGCTGTTGTGACAAAGCAGAAAAATTGTCCCAAACAGTTGTTCTTCTGAAATAAACCGACGCGTGATAGCAGCCTAAAGAAGAATAGGTTCCATAGACGTAATGCTATTACACCACTAGGAAGCGAGGGGAAAATTTGCCAAGGGATTTGCGGAACCTGGCGGCCAGAATTTTGCTCTCTGCGACGTGTACCGGAAATTGAGAAACACGTGTCAATAAGAAACTTTCTCTGACAAAACGTTTCATTTTTGATTTTTTGCAATAATTTAAAAAGGGATTTTCGTAGTTTTTTTTCGGGGGGGGGGCTCAAAATAACTAATCCAATAATTAATTTACTTGCAGCAAAAATATTTTCTTTTCTTTTAAAGAAATTTTAAACAATATTCATTTTATGAACTCTGGATAAAGTGACCTTTGAAATTCGACACCCGCTTCGCACTTTGAAGACAGATATTTCGCGCATGCACAGCTGTTTCCCTCTACATTAGAACAGAGCCAAGCCTGTTGCAGAGAGGTTTTCCTTCTTTACATATTCTTTGCTTCTAACCTCCATGGTACCGTTTACTAGGATTAAACATATTTTGTTTTATACCAAAATAAGTATTTTCTTTAGTTGAACATGCACTGCACATGCGATTCTCGAGGTTACTAGAAACCAAAAGTTGCTGGAAACTCTGCTTTGCCTATCTAAAAGATAATCTAATTAGAGCTGCGAAAATTAGCTCTATGCCAGCTGCCTGAATGACGCTCACAGGATACACAATTCAAGAAAGTGATCGTTGGTGCAAAACTAGCTTTTTTTTTTTTTTTTTTTTTTTTTTTTGGGCAGGATCGCTGTATCAAATTCCCTGACTTTTCCAGATTTTGACTAAAATATTTAAATTCTCTGACTTTTTCCTGACTTTTTTGGTCAATTTTCGAATTCCCTGACTTTTTCCAGTTTTCCAGGTAGTGTGGCAACTCTGATATATAGACTAAAACAGGCAACATTAAATCATTTGCAATTAAAATAATTTATTGCTTTTGTACTTTTTTAAAGAGAAATACATGTATTATTATAAAAAAGAAGACAGAAAACATACAAAACGTATTTTTTACTTTTTCAAATATTTGTTTACAGTAGCTTGTTTAGTTTTTGTCTGTCTGACAATCAAATTACACAATACCGTTATTTTCTAACAAGTTAACATGGTTTTGTTATTCTCAATTTGTCCTTCCCTGCTTCACACTTATTGGCAGACAAACATGAGTTTATCTAGAATGAGACATTCTATTACAAAAGAAGTACTTTTCGTTTAAGTCATAATAAAAGTTAATAAATTCCAGTATATTTGTAATAAAAGGACAGTAGTCTCCAAACTACAATGTTGGAACA